GAGGGTAGCATGGTGCTGCCAGTGTGGGCCTGACTTCTGTCCTCTACCAGCTGTGGAAGATGAGGAGTGATGATTGCACTCAGGTCCATCACTGTTATCTACTGCAGCACCTGGTAAAAGTAGCAGTACTGAACATCTGAATTTCCTGCATACACACATGAAGAAGAAGGCCTGGGCCCCTCCAGGAGGAGAGGACTGCAAAGGGACGAGGCGGACGAACACAATATTGCTGCCCTATCCTATAACCAGCTGAGCGTTGTTGGGAGGATACAGAGCTATTCTATCTCTGAACACCTGGAAAACAGGACAGTACCTAGCTTCCACCAGGAGTCCAGTGAAAACTTGTCTGTTAAATGGGTGTTTTCATAAGAAACAGCAGGCATTCCCTGGAAACCCCAAGTAGTGGAGTTCCAGCAGAGGAACGGGTATATGAAAGCCTGCAGAGGTGAGCAAAGCAAGTCTTAGTTACCACTTAATTAGAGACCACTCAGAATAGCTGCACTAAAATGCACCAAGATGGTAGCAAGGGCAGAAGTGGAAGGATAGATTGGACATAGTATCAGAGCCCAGCCTTGTCAGAGATTGTTCTTTGGTCTTTTGGGTGCCACAGTGATGTTTCAGCCACAAGTCAGCCACTGCATTTGGGTAAGAATTGCCCTGTTGGACAGACTGACAACAGGGCAGTCTGTGCTGTTTCATGCATATGCTCCTTTGGAAACTGTCTGGGATTACTTCTAAGAAAATGGTGGCAGTTTTACGAGGGGCAGATCTTGAGGGCTCTCAGTTCCTTCCTAAACCTTCTAATCTCCCTGCTTCCCTGAGAACAGTTCTGCCTTGAAATTATTACCATAATATTGTTTTAATAAAAGATATTAGATTAGCATATAAGCATCATGTCTTGACTTGTTCTTTGTCTACTCATAGAAGGGTCTAGAAACATTGTTGCTATAAGTATTAACACTAAGTTCAGGAGCTGTGGCAAGTGTCTCGCTTACCCAGTTCTACAGTGCATCTTAGCAGTGAGTTTAGTAAACACAACCAGTGAAGCTGATGGAAATGAACTTCAGGCACACTATGAAAATGTGAAAGACTTGCCTACTCACTAACCTTTATTCAAACCAACAGCCTAGTTCTCAAAACTCAGAATATGCCTTTCCAAAGTCCAATGCTGAAGGAGAAGGGAGGATATGAAGCCATGTAGGCCGAATGGGAAGTAACCCAGTGGAGGGATTCTCAGCCACAGCCAGCCTGGAGGGACCCTAGTAACCATAGAGACCATTCATAGAAGGGGTACCCCTGTCAAATATTGAGCAGGTTATTTATTTCTGATCACTCCATTTGGTCTTTAAACCACACCATGAAATTACCATCTTATCTCTTTGACCTTACAGAATAGAAAACAGACTCAGAAAGGCAAGTGGACCTGCTCTCAAAGCCTGTGTCTTCTCCAGCCCAAGCTGCCATATAAGTGCTGTACACAGGAATATTTGCTGCACCCAGCTCTGGAGGAGTGGATTCCAGGGTCAGGCAGCCAGCAATGCTGGTCCATTCCAGTGAAGGTAATTGTTTCCTTCCTGGCTTGTAGACAGCACCAGCATCATATATTCTTTCTCCCTCTAGCTTCCTCTCCTCCCTTCTTCTCTTTCCTCTCCTCCCTTCCACTGTCCTGTGCCTTTCATTCTTTTCTTCCTAGAAGTACAAAATTCCATCATATTATAATATAATCCTGATAGCTCTTGGTTTTACATCTCCTCATCAAAGTTGGGTGCTGGGTTGGGTCCCTCTTGGTCCACAGCTGCCTCCTTGATGGCATTTGTAGGGCTGGAATCAGAACCAGTGAAGTCAGGCTTGGAGGAAAAATGTTAGGCCACCTTCTCCTTTCCCTCATCCTGTCCCTAACCAAGGCTCCCCCAAACACTGCACCACCCTCACTCTTTGTCTTGTAATTCTTTTTCCTCTTTCTCCTTCACTGGGGTTGTCTCAGTCCCAGGAGAGTACGGCCACTTCACTTTACACAGGTGAAAATATTGCGCTTGACAGCTCGGCTTGGGTTATCATAGCTCAGGAACACAGATCATTCATTCCACGGAGGCAAAGCTGTCATGGAAACTAATCAATGCTAGGCTTCTGCTCGTGCCAATCACGAAGGCTGTCAGTGGGAAAGAGTGATGGGAGTGAGCCTTCTCAAGGCTGCAGTAATTCACCCTCCACGAAATGAAATCCAGAGCTGGCAAACAATTAATACAAGGTAGAACGTCCTTATGAACCCAATATGCACCTCCATACTGATCATACCCCTAGGAGGGCAAGAAAGGTGGCACAGGGTGGTCAGAAGGAAGGAGTCTGCCAAGGAGAAAGTTGGAACTGCAATTGGCAAAGCTAGGAAGTGTCCATCAAGGAGTCAGAGGGAGACCACAAAGGCAGACAGCCTGCCTTCAAGTTCCATCTGTCTGCTTACTAGTAACATGACTCAGTGGCCCCATCTAAACAAAGAGTAATAGAAAGAAATTCACAGTGGTGCCTAGAATGCATAAGCAAAATCTGGGGAACAGTGGAGGATTTGGAGGTACCTGACTAACTTAGAAAAAGGAGATGCCAGGTACAAAGAAAGGCCCAGAGGCAGGGAACTATCAGTAGGTTGGCATCTGTAGAATACAAATTCAAAGTGCAAATAATGGCCAGGTATAGAATGGAAAGGAAGTTCCAGATGTATTATAGTGTATGGGGTGTCAGGTTCAGATGATGGAATGTAGCACCTTCATTCAGGACAGCCATGATATATGAAGTGAAACTCCAGGCTTCAAGTCTTTCTTGCCATTAACACAATATGTGAGACTTTCTAAAATACTGGATTCAGGATATCATTTAGTATTCTCACAAAACCTGCTACATATATCTTCAAATACACAGAAACAAATCTGTTTAATTCTGATGCTCTCAATAAGAGAACAGAATTAAAGTAAGTGCTTGAAGGTTCACTAGCAAACATAACCCACAGAATACTTGGAAGGCTGTGAACCCAGGAACCTGAATCTTTTACCATCTGACAACACCCTTGGGGGCCAAGCCACCTCCCCACTCACCACAGGTTCACCAGGAAGGGGTGCTCTAGTCCCTGCATGATCTGCAGCTCCCGGAACACATTCCGCACCTCATCCCTTTCTACACACTTTTGCTTGTTCATGTACTTCATGGCATACATCTTCTTTGTGTCTCGCTTCTGTACGATGCATACCTGCAAGACAGCCAGAGGAAATAACAATCATGACAAGGGAAGAGGATGAGGAGAAGGAGGAGGAGGAGGAGGAGGAGGAGGGTCATAAACCCTCACTGACAATCCATTCCATGCCTGGGTTTCCTTCATTCCAACCACTTGCTATAAAGAAGGCACCAGACCAGATTTAGCACTTAAGTGTCTACAGTGAGTAATGGCTGTGGACCAACACTAGAAATGCAGCCATAGATTCAGAAGATGGAAGGAACAGCCCTGCCCTCTAGAAGTTCACAGCCCAGTAAAACCATTAGCAACTGCAGTTTTCAAGCATGCATGCCACTGACTATGACCCTGAGATGCACACATACATGCCATGTGTCCCAGATTCCAGAAGCTGCAACCCCAGGACACATTGTACACTCACAGGGAAACCCTCATCCCCAGAAAACATAGCCATGGGACACACCTGGGCATGTATGCTTTGATTCTGTCCTGGGATTACACCATTGATACTGGTGTGTGCATGCTAAAGACCATGCCTCAGTGACCATATCCCTTAGATGCTTGAGGGAACCAGGAGGCATAGAGTGGATCCAACCTAAGAGAGAATATCTGTGCCACAGGCAACAGAACTGAAGAGGCTGAAAAACCCAAGCCTGCTAGAGTGCGCAAGATGCCAGCACAAGCTTCAGGTGCCTCGCGCAGAGCTGCAGGACTTGGTGTTTGCCATGATGGCTTTCCATCTTGCTTTGGTCTAATATTTCCTTGCTACCCTCCAGTTCTTCCCTTCTTACATGGCAATGTTTGTTCTGTGCCTTGTATATTATAGGTATATGACTTGACTTTTGTTCTTATTTTATAGAGGTTTACCATTTGACTGTATGAGTCTCAGAAGAGACTTTGGACAACATGGGGATAGTTAAGGGCTACAGAGACTTTTGAAGTAGTGGAATGAATGTATTTTGCATTATGAGATAACTGTGACAGTGTGGGGCCAGGGATACAGTGTTTTTATGTAGAATGTTCCCCAGGGGCTTATGTGTTTGAACACTGTCTCCAGCAGGTGGTGCTGTTAGAAGGTTGTAGAACTTTTAGAAGGTAGAGCCTTACTGGAAGAAATGGGTTACTAGAACTGGACCTTGGGGTTTTATAGTCTAGTTATTCTTTCTGTTTCCTCTCTTCTTCCTGTTCCTCTAAGATGTGAGGAGTCCCAGCTACACACTCTTGCCACCATGGAGTCATTTACCTCCATATCTTGCAATCCATGGTAAACTGTATCATCTTAAGCTCTAAGTTAAAATGATCCATGCCTTGATAAACTATTTCTTAAGTGGCATTTAGCTACCACAGGAAGAAAATCAACAACTACCCTGGGTTTAAGTTACCCATGGTCAACAGTGGTCTAAAGATAGCAAATGAAAACCTTCAGAGATAAATCACTCATAAGTTCTAAATTGCGCATCATTTCAGTGTACTACCATCTCACACTTTCACATTCCATCCTGTCCAGTGTGTCCACACTGTATATGCAACACTACCAATAACACCCAGAAATCCTCTTTTTTTCTTTTACACTGCTTGAGAATTTTCCACATGAAAATAATGTATTTGTTCAAAACCATCCTTCTTTACCATCCCTCTAATTTCTCCTCTATATTGGCCACCACTGTTTTGTCTCAATTTCATGTGTCCTTTATTAAACTCATGGACTCCACTTACTGTATATGGGTATAGAAAAAAATATTGGAACAAGGTAGCTTCCTAGGGACCACATTTCTGAAGAAACCCAATTCTCCTTTCCCCGGCATCACTGGGATAGGTGGGTCTTTATGAACTGCTCCCATAACCATACTGGGGTGTTGACTGGCTTGTGCTGTCTTATGTATACAGTCACCGATGCTGTGTGTTCGTGTCTTGAAAATACTGTTTTCTTAAAGGTGTGCATTTCCTTTGGCTCTTAAACTCCTTCTACTACACCTCAAACTTGAAAACACTTCCAAATTTCTTCTTGAACAACAGTATTTCCCTGATACCAGAACAAAATAAAGACCCAAAAAGAAGATGAATTATAAGCCAATATCCCTGATGAACAAAGACACAACAGTGTCTTTGTCAGTGAAATACTTGCAAACCACATTTAATAAATACCTAAAAGTTTACCCAGTATGATAAAGTTGATATCATCCCGGAGATTCAAAGATGGTTCACCATATGTAAATCAACCACTGATTTCCACTATATAAATAATCTCAAGAACAGAAACCACATTATCATTTCATTAAATGCAGAAAGATCTTGATAAAACAAAATCTCTTCATGATAAAAATCCTGTGAAATTAAAGATATAGGGAATATATATATACCAATGTAATGAGTGCAATTTACAACAATCTCACAACCAACATCATATTAAACCAGAGAAAAAAACATTTTCACTACAGTCAGGAACAAGACTGTATCCACTCGATCAATATAGTGCTTTAAGTCTTACAGCAATAAGACAAGTTGAAGAAGATATAAAGGATCCCCTTTACAAAAAAGAAGAAATAGAAAAGAAACAATGTATCCTTATTAGCAGATACAATTCTATCATATACAAAAGACCCTAAAGATTCCACCAGAAAACCTCTATAACTGATTAATATGCTAAACAAAGTAGCAGGATACAAAATTAACACATAAAATCATTAGCTTTTCTATACAAAAATAAGAAATACACTGAAAAAGAAATAAGGGAAACAATACTATTTATAATAGCCTCAAAAAAATCTTGGAAAAAAAAATTTAACCAAGCTACTGAACAGCTTGTATTTAAGTCATTGGAGAAGACATCAGAAGATGGAAAAATCTCTCACACTTAAGGAAGAATTACTGACATAAAAATGGCTATCCTACTAAAGCAATTTACAGATTCAATTCAGTCTCCAAGATTCCAATGCAATTCTTCACAGAAACTGAGAAAACAATCTCAAAATTCATATAGAAACACAAAATATCTAGAATGGCCAAAACAATCCCAAGCACTAAAAACATTGCTTCAGGTATCACTGGTTTCAACTTTTATCATTGAGATATAGCAATAAAAATAAAAACAGCACAATTCTGGCCTCACTTTGCACAAAACTCAAATTCAAATGGATCAATGACCTCTATGTAAGACTTGGACACTGAACCTAGTGGAGGAGACAGCATGGAAACAGTCTAGCTTATATGCACAGAAAAAAAAAAAAAAAACTTTCTAAAAAGGACCTAGCCATTCAGGTATTAAGAACAATAGTTGATAAATGGGCTTCACAGAACTCAAAATTCTGTTCACAAAGGACACAATCATTCAAGCGAAGTAGCGGTGTACCATAGAATGGGGAAAAGTTTTCACCAGCTATATATCTGACAGAGGGTTAGTATCTAGACTATACAAAGATCTCAAAAAATTAAACATCAAGGAAACAACCTAATTAAAAATTGGAGCATGGGGGGGGGATCCAAGATGGTGGCACCGAGAGGACACTGTATCTGATGAACAGGACAGCAGTGACTGCACAGTGACCAACAGCCTGAATATGGGTCCTAAAACAGCAGCGACTGTGTTTCCCAGGTGAGAGTTTCCCACGGTGTGGGAAGCAATTGGGGTCCATTCTCAGGTCACACAGCTAAATCCCAGAAGAGTTTCTGGGTCCGGTCAGGTGCTCAGTTATCAGTCCAGAGCCACATGACTGCATGCTCTGATCACTGTCCCAGACTGAACTGCGGGCCCCACAACACCAGAGACTGGGATTTCCAGTTGAGAGAAAACCCCACTGTGCAGGAAGCAATCGGGACTGGCCCCAGGTCACCCAGACAATCCCTGGAAATGCATCTAGGGTCCAGCAGGTGCTCAGCTGCTAGCCCCAGAGACCTGCCTGTGTGTCCAACTCACCGTCCCAGACAGAACTGTAAGCCCAGGGCACCAGAGACTGAGTTTCTCTGTCGGGAAGAAATACAATGGTGAGGGAAATAACAGGACCTCAGGGCATTCAGCCGAATCTAATCACTCCGCAATAAAAAAAAAAAAAAAAAAAAAAAAAAAAAAAAAACATCTGGAGAAAAGTCCCTACAGGTGCCCAGCCTCCAGCAAGAAGTGATTCGCCTGCACCTGCGTGCTCTGCTCACCATTCCAGACTGAACTGTGGACCCCAAACACCACAGACTGGGACTCCCTTTCGGCAGGAAACCCCACGGTGGGAGAAACATCAGGTCCGACCTCAGAACACCCAGCTCTGGAAAAGTTTCGGGGCTCCTGAAGACTCTAGCCTCCTGCTGCATGCAGGACTGCTGTGCTAACCTCCCATTGATTACCGGGGTACAGGGCTCTACTGAAGCCTGGGATCCAAGGGATCAGCCCCAGATAATGCACCAAGGCACCACCAGTCTCCCTAGCTAGAATGACCAAACCCTGCCTCTTCAACAGGGCTGTGCCCAGCAAACACAGTGTAAGAGCAGCAGCAGCCGCCCACTAAATTCAGATAAAGCAACCCAGCGGCAGGACAGCTGTCTCCAGGACTTCTCCTGGAGAGAGAAGATCCCTCTGACTACAAATGACCATAGTTGTAGCACAGGTCCATATGCCTGAGGTGATCTCTGACAATTCCTGAAGAGCACTGGTCATTCGGTGACCATACCCAAAAAGCTGAGGAGGCCTTCTTCAGGAAGAACCATCTTCCTGCCAAGGGGATTCTCCCCACCCCAGGATTCCAGGAGGTACCAGAAACTAACAGCCAACATCTAAGACATTCAGATGGTTAGAGGCCAGCATGAAAGCACAACTAACAAACACCAAAGAAATAAGGCATTTCCAGAAGCCAGTTATACAGGGGCAAGCAGCCCTGACACCCTATCATCAGTGAAATTCAGGAAGATGACCTTACATCTATGTTTATAAAGAGGTTAATGGAGGAAACAAATAAAATGTGTAAAGAATTAGAGGAAGATAAAGTCATACAGATTATGGCCATCCATAAAGAAATACAGGAAGATGCAGCCAA